ATTTTTGGTTTATAAGTAATCTAAAATTTTTTTCTTATAATCTAAAAATAAATACTATAAAAAAGTAATCTATATTTCCAAATATTATTATACCAAATTTTATTTGAATATTCTAAATTATTAAAAAAAAATAGATCAATAGCATGTTTATAGTATCAGCACAGGCAAATTTGTCTGTATTGGTCTACAATTTAAGGAATAAGTGCGAATATATAGCATCTGTATCTAAAACTTTTTTTATACTAAGTAAATCACTCTTAGGCTTCTACAAAAGTTGTAAAGCTCATAAAAATATATTTAATATTATAAAAATATTAGTAGCTCTTGAGAAATCTTTAAAAAACTTCTTTTCACATAAAATTTCTTTAAAAAAAATAATATTTTTACAATATTAAATATATTTTTATAAACTTTACAACTTTTGTTAAAAGTCTAAGAGTAATTTACTTAGTATAAAAAAAAGTTTTAAATACAGATGCTATGCATTTGTACTTATAGTAAAATTTATATATAAAAAAAAAATTTGAACTAGGTGACTAGTGAATCACCTATTACTATATTCCTGTACTAATAAAGACTTGGCATTGAAACCTAGATGCAACTCACTTAAACAGCCAATTTGTTTCATGTTGAATTCTTAATTTGCTAAGGATTTGGTTTCTTTGATTTTTAGCTAGAAGCTGCCAATCTTGTCAGATATCACTATTTTTTCTTTGTATTGTTGGTTTAAAATGATCAACTTGGCTTAATATTGTAACTAATTAGATTGTGATTGTTTTTCTTTACTACTTTTAGAACTCATTTTTCTTTCTCTTTGGAGACTTTTTTTCATTCTTCTTTTTCTGCAATCCTATTTTCTTTGTCATCTGATTCTTGAGTTGCACTCTTTTTTATATCTTTTTTCTTTTTAGCCTCAGTGGTGATTTTATTTACTTTCTTCTAATTATTTATTAGTTTGTATCTAAAGTTCTATATACAGGTCTAGAATTTTTTGTTAAACTTCTTTTTAATTGTATTTAGCATCTTATACCTTATATTTCTATCCTTTATCTTTTCTTTAATTTTTACTTTTCTTTCTTTAGTTATAAGGCTTTTTATTAGATATCTTCTTGTTTTTGTTCTTTCTTCTTGTATTTTTCTAAAACAAAGTTTTTTGACTGCTTCTTTGTCATTAAGCTCTCTTATTGAATTTTCTTTTTGCAATACTTTAAAGCCTTCATTGCTAGCTTTATCTTTAATGATATCTTATATTCTTTGGTAAGCTTTGCATTCAACAAAATAATCTGTTTTCTGCTTTTATTTTACAAATTATACAAGTATTTATTTTGTATATCTTTAGTTTCTTTGTATTTAGCTCTGTCAAAGTTGGTAGTAGCTCATCTAAATACTTGACTTAAAAGATTTACCTTTTGTTTTTCTTCTTGTTTATAAAGTTTCTCTCTTTATTTTTATTAATTTATCTTTATGTTTCTCTAATCTAATTTTTTCTCCTACTTCTATTGATCCATCTAATGTTTCTATTTAAACTTGTTTATTTTGCATCTAAAGTAGCTAAAGCTAGTTTGTTTATAATTTCTTTCATTAGACTGTTTATTATTAGAGTTGAGATCTTTTGAATATTCATTAAGGCTATTCAATGAAATTCACAGATTTTAATAAATTGTGAATAATAATGAATGAATATATAAAATTCATAGTTATTTAGAGAATTCACAGATATTCATAGAAAATTTGTGGATATTTAAAGAATTCATGAATATTTAGAGAATTTGCAAATATTCTAAGAAAATTCACGAATATTTAAAGAATTCACAAATATTCATGGATATTCCGAATATTCATAGAGAATTCGCGAATATTCAGAGAATTCGCGAATATTCAAAAAATTCATGAATATTTATAGAGAATTCACAAAAATTTATCAAACAACATTATGATTTCTAACCTACCCAGACTTAACTTAATTTATACCCTCTAACTAACCTAACTCTAATTTTTAATACATATTTTAACTTACCTAACCATTGATTCTAAAGTACATATTGGTCCCAAGTGCATGTACTTATAGTAAATTTAGCAAAAGATTAATAAATTTATAATAGTTTTATCAAATTAAACTTACCCTACAAGAAACCGGTATAATAAGTTTCTTAACTTTCTCACACTTTATAAATTAAGAAATATATACTAGCACACACTCTATAAGTATGCTTCTTTATAATTTTCTCTCTTTAAGTGCATATCATTTAACCAATAAATTATCTATAAATGCGCATCCCCAATAATATGCACTTATAGAAAAATGACTATACAGTAACACTTCCATAAATGCATTCTCTTTAAGTATATATCATTAAAGTTAGATCTTAAGTACATATACTTATAGAGATTTACTGTATATACTAAATTTATCGATTTTTCTTATATCAATGCAATATTTTTTTTTAGTTTATACCAGGGCACAAAATTCTATTGTAAAATACCAGAGGTTTAGTTTATTTCTGGCATAGTTTTAAAGATGCTGAAAATTTTATAATATAAATATATTATAGAAGTTTCTAAATTTCGTTTACCGAAAAAAAAAGCAGATTATGACATGCTGAAATTTTGTACTCTGGTTTATACCTTCATAATTATCTTGCGTCATGAACTCAAATTTAATTTATCAGATTTTTCTTACATCAATCTAAATATAATATCAAAAAATTAATATAAATTATCTCTATTATACAGTAGTATTAAAACTATTATTATTACCTTGGCGTTATCTTGATTTAATTTATTGGATCTTTTCAAGTTTAATTTATTAAATTTCTTTTATATCAATCTAATGTAATAAAATTTAATTAATATAGATTATCTCAGGGTACAAAATTTTGGTATATTGTAACTACTTTTTTTTGGTAACTGAAATTTAGTAACTCCTGCAATATATTTATATTATAAAATTTCTGGCTGCTTTAAAATTACTCCAAAAATAGACTGAACCTCCAGTATTTTACAATAGAATTTTGTACCCTGGATTATCTCTATTATAGTATTAAAACTACTATAATTACTTTGCGTCATAAGAACGCAAATTTAATTTATCGATTTTTTTACATCAATCTAATGTAATAAAAATTTTTTATTAAAAAATTTAATATAAATAAAATCTTTTGATAGTAAAATAATAGCACCTTAGTTATGTTTTCATCTACCTCTTCAGATAAATCTTCTTCTACATCTACCTCTTCAGATACATCCTCTTCTACATCTTTATTAACAAATAACTAGCCAAAAAATATAACAAGATCTAAAGAAGGAATCAAATTAATTAGTTGGGTTTGGAAATGGGGTGAATGTCGAAAATTACTAGACAAAACTAGAAGAATTTTCATATGTATCAACAAGTTATTAAACAGAAAAGACTGTACTTCTAAAATTATGACAAAGGGTCTAACTGGAAATATTATTAATTATTTAGTGATTATATATCAAATATTCAAAAATATGCCCTTATCTACAAAATCAACTAATCAAGATGAATCTTTCATGACAATAACTAAAGAATGGCAAAAATATTTTGAACAACTTCTCTATGAGTGGTTTATTCTAGAGACTCTGCCTTTATATATGCTTGAATCGCTTTCATTCCAATGTTTCATTAATAAATCCATTCTGGCATTCAATATTCCTAATCGTAAAAAATTTAAAAGAAAAATTTTTGAGTCTAAAAATTATGTTAGTTTAAAAATTTCAAAATTATTAAAGCGCAAAGCAAGTTGGGTATTACTTACATGTGATTTATGATCTCTCGCTCTAAAATGAAATTTTTTGAAATCACTGCACATTTTATAATACCTAATTTTGAGTTTAAAGAAGTTACCGTGATGATTAAAAATCTTTCACATCCTCATACCAGTGATCATATTCAAGAAGCCCTAGAAATAGTTATAACTAAATAGAAGTTAAACAATAAAGTATTTTGCTGTACTACCGATAATGGCACAAATAATAATAAAAGCATTTAATCAAATTTCTTGGCTTAAAAGGATCTCGTGTGCAGTGTACACTATTTAATTAGTAGTTGGAAAAGGAATGCTACTAGCCAAAGTTCTAATTGCAAGAGTGCGAAGACTAATTAACTTTTTTACCTGTCCTAAGCAATACGAGAGATTAATTAATGTTCAAAAGCAATATGCTATAAGCACAAATATTGAAGATGAATCAATAAATGAATCACAATTAGTTTTTTATTATG